TGTAGTTGCCAGTGTAGTTTTCTTGTTTGAGCATGTGATTTTATGAGACAAGGGGAGCGTAATTCGTTGCTCTGAGGACTCCTTGCTGCTGTCAATCTCAAATGTGTTTTACATTAAACTTAAATGAGTATACGCCTAAAAAGAATGAACATACAGAATTGAATATTGAACACATTAGAAAAGAGTTTTATGTTAAACTTAAATGAGTACAACGTTCAAAATGAATGAGCATACACAAATGAGCTTTTGAATTTTTGAAACTCATTTTCTAAATTATATATGCTCATTTGATGTCGTTTTATGCTCATTTTAAAATGTTGTACATTTCAAATGTATCCTACTACATTAGATTCACATATTGAAATTGATTATAGACATAATTTAAGTTTTTTTTATAAAAGAAAAACAATAGAACAAAAATAAATTGAAAGATATGGAGCAAAGAACATTGATGCTCATTGGTAGGCTCCGAATACTAAAAAAATAGACTTGGATGCTCACCAAAATTGTATTAATGCTCATTTAAGAGAATCCGTGTTTTTCATCAAAATTACAAAACTGTCACCGGCTGTACGGCTGGCACCGTACAGTCGGTTGTATGATATACGCTTCCCATGTCTTTTTAATATTACAACATTGTGTGCAAGACTATTTATTTTAAGAATAATATTATGTTGCTAATTCATATAGATGGTGCATATTATATTTGTATTAATGCTAGCATACTTTAAAATTTATTACTTGTGCTATAAATTCTTTTTTTAAAAATCATCGATAAATAAATTGTGTAATTTTAGTGTCATACACTCATTTATATTTTGGATTTACTTTACACTAAATAAAAATGGTTTAATTGGTGTGTCTGATATTTAATAGAGATATTACCCAAAATAGGACTAAAAAGGTTTGAAAATTCCAAAATAGGACTGTCATGTTTTTATTCCCAAAATAGGACTAATTACTGTCATGTTTTGGCAGTGCCAGACTTTAAATATGACAGTATTTTCCAAACTTGGCAGTGAATAGTCCTATTTTGGAAATAAAAACATGACAGTCCTATTTTGGAATTTCCAAACTTTTTTAGTCCTATTTCAGGAACTTTCCCTATTTAATATTGCTAGATATTTTACAAAATTGAGTATTAATTATCTGATAAAGATAAATTCAACACTACAAAACGATTTTTTTTAAAGAATAAGTATCATTAGTCTTAAATTAATGAGTTATTTTATTGTTTATTTTTTGAAGTAAAAAATGAATTATTTTAGATTTATCTCCTTTTACTACTCCTATTAAGTTCATCTTATGTCCCTTAAAATTTTTTCAAATTTTCTTTTTTGATTGTCCTAATAACTTTGCCACTTTTAAAGAATTTGTGATTTCATTTAATTCTCTCTCCTCTGTATAAACTTCTACTACACAATTTTTACTTTATTAATCTCTGTTCCGGTCAAACAATGCAAATTTTAAGGGACATAGGGAGTAATAATTTTATCCAAGGCTATAAGTTAATTTTGAAAATTAATTTTAAAGGATGGATCATATACTCTGTATATCTAATTAAAGTATGAGAATTTTATAGAAATCGCATATACATAAATTTTAAAAGTTGAACAATAGCGGATGGCCAATGGGACGGAGTAGAACTGCAAGTGTGAAGATGGAAGTGGAAATATAAAAGTAGGAAAAAAGAAGAAAAGGCAGTTCGTATATTGTGGGATCATCCCACGGTGAGCACTATGCTCCACCTCTAAAATGACTTAGTTTTAAATCAATGTTTTTTTTAAAAAAAAATCACGTGAACAGTACACGCGTGTACAATATTTCTTTTTTTAATTTTTCTCTTGTTCTAGTAGCAGAATGGTGTAACTCACGTGTAATGAAATGTAACTCACATTATTGATGAATGTAACTCAAGTCTAGTCGAAGTGCAACTTGTCCAATACATAATACTCCCTCCGTCCCTTAAAACTTTGCCATCTTTCCTTTTTGGGACGTCCCGAAAAACTTTGTCACTTCCCTTTTAATCAATATTTTGTGGTTTCTGTTATTTCTCTCTCCTCTGCACAATCCTCAACTACGGTTTTTTTACTTTATTATTCTCCGTGCAGGTCAACTTTGGCAAAGTTTTAAGGGACAAAGGTAGTATAAGAAATAAAATATTGATTTCAATGGAAAAAGGAGTCTATTGCCCAATTATTTTACATAAATAGTGTATATGTTTTGTTTTTGACATCAACGCTATAAAAGTGATTTTTTTTTTATAAAAACAACTTTTGTTTGAGTAGCAGGGAGTCAGGGGCGTAGCCAGGACACTAGGCTAGACTGGGCCGGTACAAAGAATATTATTGGAAAAAAATTTACACGAAATTTTTTACACTAAAAATATTGACATTTTTCAAATTTGGGGTGGGCCAGGGCCTAGCCTGGGCACCCCCTAGCTCCGCCCCTGCAGGGAGTTATTGTGTTGTGTAACCTGCATTATATTGTGGTGTAACACGTGCTTTGAAAAATGTAAATCAATTGTAAAGATGATGTAACTTGTTAAGAAAAGTTGACATGTAACTCACGATATAAGATATGTAACTTTTGACAAATCATGATGTAACTTAAGTGTGCACGAGATGTAAGTTGAGGAAGGTCTAAAGTAGTTTATAGCAGTCATCTTCAACATGTAAATTTTCCAATACGTATAAGATTTACAAACAGAAGCCAATAGACTACCTGAGTATGAAGCCATATACATATATATACGTATGCACACGCTATAAAAAATATATATATATACGTATGCACACGCTACTGTAAAACCAAAGGAGAAGGACTCAAGCCTCAGTTCTAAGTCGTTGAAGACAAGAGGGAGCGAAGGAAAATTAGAAGGAAGACCAAGTCAAAATTTCACAATCTTTAATCTCTCAAGTCACTGCAGTATAAAAGTATTCTAACTCTTTCTCGGGATCCTCGGCGAACATACTCATGGGCGAAAGAAAACTCTGCAGCATCACATCGCCCTCTGGTCACCCAAGTAGCAACAAATTTTAGGGAACAATGGTTTCTTGCTTTTTTTAATTAAGAATTCTACGTAGTTTTGGGATCGATACACCATGCGCATGGTGTACCAATCCCACGGTTTAATTTGCGAAGAAAAGGAAACGAACTTCGTCTGTAATAGTTTAAGAAATGCCAATTACAATCTGACATGTATCATGTATGTGGTGTTAATAGGCTTGGACCCGGTTCGGGCTGCCCAGCCCGTGACCCGGCCCGGCCCGCTACTGTGCGGGCCAGGACCGACCCGGTCCTTTGGTCCGGTACCGGGCTTGGACCCGAACCGGTGGGTAAAGCGGGGGCGGGCTCGGGTATGTGAATTGGTGACCCGGCCCGGTTCGGGCCAAAATGTTTTTTTTTTTTTCAATTTTTTTTTGGGTTTCGCCCGAGTTGGGTTGGGTGTTTGGGGTGGGGGGTAGGGTGAGGGGGTAGTTAGGAAAGCAATAAAAAAATTATAAACCAGCCCGAGACCCGGCCCAACCCGGACCCGGTGGATACCCGGGCCTTCCCTCAACCATAAAAAGCCCGGCCGGGCCTCGGCCCGATCCAGACCCGATGCCTAGGTGTTAATGACCTCTTTTAACTTGTTTATGTAGGTTAGACTACCTGCATCATTGACCATTTAGTGTAGGATTTTTTCACAAATAGACTAAAAAGTAAAAATAATACTCCCTTCGCTAAGATCGTCACAAAACGGGACGGAGGTAGTAGTCATATACTTATATCTACTTATATTTAAATATATTACATCTACTTATATACTTATTATATCTACTTACATTTACATATGTTATATCCATATATATACTTATATATACATATATATTATATGTAGCATCTACTTATACAGGATTATTCATGTCCGGAATTTCCGGACAGGATCCCCGTCCGGCCTCCTTCATTTGGAGGCCTTCCCGGTGGTATTTTTGCGTATGTTCCTCATCAAGTCTAGTTCATCCATACTAAATTTCAACAAAAAAATCAATCGGGAAGGTCGTCAAATGATTTTTGCAAGTTAACTAGTATGGAATATGTATTTTCCGGACCACTTAACTTGCAAAAATCATTTGAAGACCTTCCCGATTGAATTTTTTTTGCTGAAATTTGGTATGGATGAACTAGACTTGATGATGAACATACACAAAAAATTTGAACAAAAAATACCACCGGGAAGGCCTCCAAAAGGAGGAGGCCGGACGGCACTCCGGTCAGGAATTTCCTGACCGAAAGATTACTCTCTACTTATATACGAAGTACGTAATATCTACTTATCTACTTATAATTAGATATATTATATCTACTTATATATTTATTATCTACTTATATTTACATGTATTATGTCTACTTATATATATTAAGTATATACTCATAGGTTAAAGTATTAAATATAAGTATACTAAATTAGCAAATGTAATTGATGTTTTAAATGATTCTCAATCCTCAATTGTAATTCAGATTTCAAATAAATCTATATTACATTTTTAATGTCTACCACTTGTTATATACTCCCTACATCCCGCAAAGATGTTCCCGGTTTGACCTACACACATATTTAGGAAATAAATTTGACTTTACTGTTTAGACACTGTTTGGCACTGTTTAGACACTGTTTGGCACTGTTTAGACACTGTTTGACACTGTTTTGCACTGTTTGACACTGTTTTGATGTAGGATAACTTTTCATTTAGGGAAAGGGAACTTCTTTTTGGGATAACCAAAAAAGGAAAGCGGGAACATCTTTACGGGACGAAGGGAGTATATTAGGGGGAAACCCCAAACCCGACCCAACCCGTGACCCGCCCAGGTACCCAGACCAGAACCGGTACCGTACCAAACAAGTTTAGTACCGGAACCGGGTCCAACCCTAGTGAGGGGACTTTCGGTTTATGGTGAGTGATAGCACCGATGCTACTTAGTATTGAAGAGCTTGTAATGTCGTTGGTTTCTTGGATTTTAATATACAGTTCCATAAACCAGCCAGGGCAAGGGTTTATGAAATAAATCAATTGCCTTTACATATTCAAGCTAGAAATATATGACTGAGTATCAGTTTTTCAGGTTGTTCAGATTGTAGGATGTTTGAGGAATAATCCATCAATCAGTTCTTCCAAAAAAAATACATCAATCAGTTACCTACTCTGGTAATAGAGGCAATATATCCACAGTATAGGGTGATCCATTACAGTCAGTAACTGGCTGCATCAAACTATCAAATTCGCTACCGCCAATTTCTTGTGAAGAAAAAGGAATTATGCGGAGGTGAGCCTCTGATTCTGTCCCGATTCTCTCCGATTTCAGATTATACTTAGAAATAAGATCCTTCTGAAGAAGCAGAATATTTGATGGCCGAGGAAGTAGCTCCACGGGTTCCCCTTTGGGGATTACTACTTGCTGGATTGCGATTCTTGCCTCCTATCAACAAGAAATAAGAGGTTCAATGCCTTCAATCAATGCTATTAGGAAGTGAGGCTTTATTAGGACATGATTGCAAAAGGGTACAACTGAGACTAGGGGGGAATGTTTTGTTTGCACTTTGCAGGTTCTAATGAAGAGAGCCATATCAAAAGAACCAAGTCCCTTTCCTATCCACCGAGTAATACTAAGTAAGTAAGTATGTTGTTATACAATATTCAATGCCTGACTAAACATGAAACTCGGATTCTAACAAAACCACTTCAACACAATTTAATCATAGCTAAGAATGCTAACAAAACATGATTAGATAGTGTTTGGTTAAATGTTATGGAAGCATATTGGCATTTTGCAAAAACATTTATCCAAACACATCAAGGGGGTGTTTGGCAAAATGTATTGGGAGCATTTTGCCCCCAGTTATGCTATATTGAGTGAAACACCATGCGTTAAGTATTTGAAAAACTTATCAGTACTACTTGATGGTGTTATGAAAAATGAAAACAAAGAAAACACTAAAATCGCTCCCAGAAAAGATAAAATCATTAAATCAAGATATTACAAAATGAAACTTCAGATTTAAGTGTTTTTTTCTTTGAACATAAATACCATCTAAGAAGATACTTTCTTTCATCATAAAACACACTTTCAAAACACAGGCATGCTTTCAAACTGGTAAACCCAATATATATTACTACCTACATCACAATTTGTTTTGCAATGTCAACATTTTTTGGTCAACTAATGTTAAAGTGAAATCCTCTCTATTAATATATAATTCAATTTTAATAATTAAGATTTATATATTCAGAAACTACATTAAAATCTCTATAAAGTTGCAAAATTAAAATTAAATTTAATCAGGAATTGATATCCTAATTAAGTAAATAAAATGAAATTGTTTGACCCAAAAAAGTCAAATTTGCAAATCAATTTGGGATGGACGGAGTATATAATTGGTCTTCAAACAAGGTATTGGCAAAAAGAGGTTCACCTCCAAGGCATCCATGTTTTCTGACACCTTGACCCTAGCTTCAGATTCAAGCAAATAAAAACCATCAGCATAATCCTCCGCTAACGCCTGCATGGCCTTAGTTATCTGTGATAAGGAGCTTGTCTGCAAATCAAGAACACTCATACATTATAAAGAATATAATGAGGTATCTTTGAATCAGTTACACAATCAGTCACAATCTCTGAAAGGACCACTCTTGAGGTGTATCATGTATGCATCAAGCAAGCCTATTTTAGTTATTTGCAGACCTACCTTAGAGATATATGTAGGAAGACCTTGAGCTCTTGCAGCAGCTTGAATTCCAGAATTTTTTTTTAGCTTCGAGTGCAATACTAGCAGGGCATCTGCCTCGCTGATGTTATCAGTAAACTCAAAGGCCTGTTTTATCTTTAACTGTTTAATCCCCTGAACCACACTTGCCTCCGAGATCTATATCATCTGCTCAATGTATAAGTTCCATACAGAAGCTATGTAGGAAGTTAAGCAACTCTTTTTGCGTTCATCTGAATTTCTACACTAAGGTCCGTTTGAAACCTTAAGAGCACAAGGGAAAGAGAATAGTGGAGCAAGGGGGATTGAAAGGAAAGCGAACTTTGGGGAGGACAAAGGATAGGCTCAAACTCAATAAATTTATTCCAGATATTTGTCCAAACACTTTGTATATTATTTATTTAGTTCATATCAAGACTAAGAAGCCTAAATACGTGTAAAGGACTTAAAAATTTATCATATATCAGCCTTCCGTTGCATCTTTTATAAGTCAAATGTAAAAAAAGGATTTTCTAAGACTTTTCTTTCCTTTCCCTAAAATTTTCTGGAATCCAAAAATTCCCTGAACTCATAAGCTTCTCAGAGTTATAAATGGAAGAAAAGGCTTTAGAAAGAAGATATTTTCTTGAGAACTTTCATAATACAAGTAGCACCAGATTAGAAGTTTAAATTATTATTGTATACCAAAGTGATTTTATTTGGTTGATAAGGACGTTTTACAATAAAGGGGACAGATATGAATAGTGCCATACCCCATATAGAAATAAGCGAAGGGCATCCTCAGTTTTACTAACATTCTCTCCCCCGCTTGGATCCATTTTGGAAATTAAATCACTGTTCAACTGTTCATTGCCTACAATGACGGTTTCACTTCTACTGTCAGTAAACTCCTGGATGGTCATCCTTTGTCTCACTTCTTGAGAAATCTCATTTATCTTGCGAACTTCATAGCTGGGATGACGGCCTTCTCATCATCAGTAGAGCAAATTGTCAATAATGATGTCATTAAATAAGAAATGTATGATAGCCAATCACATAGTGTGGTAAGAGTTGTATGATTGGCAAATTTGGGAAACTTATCTATATGTGACTAAAACATTCTTAGATTCCTAGTATATGACTTACAAACTTGAACATGTCTTTATATGAGGAATACTTAAATTGAAGGGAGAAAATGTAGCATCAAAAAGCATATGATACATCATACATGTAAAACACCATTAATTTACGAATAAAAAGCTGTTTAGTCCTTTTTAGGAATCACTCTCTCTTTTAGCATGCTGCCTAGTAATTTGGGAGGGGCATATTGATTTTGGTTTGAATAAATTATACAGGAGTACCCACTTTTAAGACTTAGACTAAAAAATAACTACCCCATTTCTATCCCATTTTATCCATCATAGTTACTCCGTACTATTCATTGGTAACAATCTCTCATTGTTCTTAGCGTGTTTTCTTTTCATATTCTACTAGAATTAAATATTCATGCCACTTCTTATTTTATAGGACTTCTAATGTAGTCTTTATTTAATCTATGTTGGTTTTACTAGCATGTATTAAATTGAAGAAATAATTAAATAAATAGAGTAGTAATGAAATCATAGTAATTAATGTTCAAGTTTTGAACTTAGGTTACCACAACACTACGTTGTAGTAATGAATAGTCATATTTATGTAAATAAGTTTTATTTTAGTAATATTCTTGTAAAAAAACCTAAATTAAATGTTACAATATCAAAACTCAATCGAAAATATCTTTTGTTTGCCTAGTTGCTCAGGTAAGACACATAGTATAGTTCTTGTTAATGACTTAAGGTGTGACACCCTTATTAAAGAAGAGGTTAAAATGAAAATGTTGTGGTTGAGAATTGTGTAAAAATGAGTAAAATGAATAGAACTACATATTTCTTTCCTTACAAAAAAGCAAGAATATTGTTTTGGAAGGACGATAAAGAAAAGGATGAATTTATTTTGGGACGAAAAGAGTATTTGTTAAGTAAAATCATGTATTTCTTTATCGTTAATTTCACCTATGTATTCTTATCAATCATCTAAATACAAAGAATAAACTAATAAATACACACCACCTCTCTCCATCCCTCTTTCCCGCTAAAAGCCTGAAATCCCCCAACTAAACACGGCCCCAGTAGAAATAGAGAGGGTTACACTGACTGAACCTGAAAGAATAGCGTCTACTGTAGCTTCTAAGTTACGGTGAACTCGCAACTCTGTCTTGGAAATTATCTCGACTCCACAGCTGAAAACCGAAGGCCCTTTCCTCTCCAGTACAGACTTTTGAACACCCCTACGGCTTGCCTCTTCATCCCCCAATGTTACACTCTGAGAATGATGGCAATATGATTAGTTTGCAAAAGAGCAAATCCTTAATTTTTTCTCATAAAATGTTATTAGAATAGAGCTAGAGTAGTTCTAAAATCCTTTTCAAGTGTGAAAAAGCACTTCAAAGAAAATCACACCGCCCATTTCAGTGTCTCCCAAAAGACCACTGTTATGTGTTATTTAAAAGAAGGTCACGGGGGAGGACAGGATAGAGAATCTGGGATTTTGTCAAGGCCCACAACTCCCAAATTTCTGCTTTCTGAAATTCCGGCTTATATTATTCCAAGACCCTCCTTATATGTCTTATGTCTAATCGCTCAACAACTGAGGCCATTGACTTTGCAACTTGTGGAAAAGTATAAGGACACTCAAAGATCTGCATGTGGTGTTCTTTGACTTAGAAAAGGCGTATGATAGGGTAGCTTGAGTGCTTGAGAAGTCCTTTGGTATGCCTTATCTAGAAAATGCATATCACGTAAGTATATCAACATCATCATGGATATGTACGAGGATCGTACTACAAATGTCCGTACTGTTGTAGAGAGGACCACAAAGTTTCCTATTACTATCATAGTGCACTAAGGATCGGCTCTGGCCTCTGGGTCATTTCCTACTTGCAATAGTCATGGATGAACTCACGAATTCAATAAGACATACCGGGGTGTATGATGTTTGCCTATGATATTTTATTGATTGAAGAAACAAGAGTACGTGTTAAAGTAAAGTTAGAAGTATGGCAACAAACTCAGGAGAACAGGGGTTTCAAGCTAAGTTAGAGCAAGACCAAGTATATTACATGCACGATTAGTAGAGGTAGAGGCAAGAATGTTTTTACTTGGACTGTAATTTGCTGGAATGGTCTGGTCTGTTAAAGTTTGGTCTAGTCTGGTCTGTTTAAGTCTGGTCTGGTCTGGTAACCGTCTGGTCTCTGTGTATTCTATAACTACGGAAGTCAAGTCTGGTCTGGTCTGTTTAAGTCTGGTCTTAGACTGAAAACAGTCCAAGTAAAAATATCCTAATAATGGGATTACCTTAAATGGTATGGAGATACCGAGTGGTGATATGTTGTGCTACTTGGGCTTCATAATTCAGAAGGGCAGTGAAGTAGATGGAGATGTATCTCATGAAATCTTAATCTTAATGTATGGAGATATCGAGTAATGATTTTGCAACTTTATAGAGATCTTAATGTAGTTTTTGAGTATGTAAATTTTAATAATTAAAATTGAATTAGTTATTAATAGGGAGGATTTTACTTTACCATGACAAAAAATTGTTTACTTTAAAAATAATTCGAGACGGAGGTAGTACTGTGTATATAGGTTACTTCACCACAACATGAAATTTTTATTTCAATTATTAGTTGAATAAATTGGATTTTAAAATGAGACACAGGTAGAGATGTCGATTCTTTGAGAGAAAAGCAAAAATGGATTATTAATTAGTTAGGACTCCTGACTAATAGTTAGAATGAAGGATTCCAAACCGTTCTTCATCGGGTTAGCTACCGTATGCAGCATTATTCATGGAGTGATCGGATACATCGTCATGCAGCTTACTAGCTCCAGCAATTTTGAACTCGAAGCCAAGCTCTGGCGTGGCAGAGACTAGAACGACCCAGAGTATGCAGCGTCGGCTGCATCGCAGTCTCTTCGGCACTACCTTGCCGGAGAGCAAAATTCCACGGTTGCAGCAAGTCATCTGCCTTGCCGGAGACCTCCCCTTTCCTATTATGTGCCCCTCCAAAACCCCTGACCTGGTTCCGCCACTGGCTGGGGTTAGTGGGACTATTTTATAATGTCAATTAATTGTCCATAAATGTGAAACTATTAACCATATAAATTCATACAAAGAAGCAATTTCACAAAGTTTTACACCACATGCCCTTGTTATGAGAACCTCCAAAAAAGGAATGATGAGATGAAATCCCAAAACCTCCATCATGATACGCTTTTTCACCATTGCTGGGAAAATATCAGGAGACAACAATGACTCAAGAAAGCTGTTATAGTCATGTCCCAATTCAAAATTGATATTGGAAAATCAACATGCACATCAGGAACATGAATGTAACAAGTCAAGGAAGAAAACCTGTACGCCTCCGACAAGCATTTCAAGAGCTGGGTTCATGACTAGATTCTCTATTGTTACACCATGAGCAGTTGCAACTAACTGAATACCACGTTGTGCTATTGTACTAGCTGCCATGGCCTCTAGCTTAGTGCCAATTTCATCTATTACAATCACTTGAGGCATATGATTCTCAACTGCTTCTATCAAGACCTGCAAAAAATTCATTTTTGGAGATTAAGGACAGCGCTGGACCCCAAAGTACAGAGCAATGAAAGTGAGTAAAAAGAGTTAATGTATGATTTAGTCCCTCAAGTATACTTTTTTAATTCATTACTCAAGTTGGTCCTCAACTTGTTTTGGACTCAATTTGATACTAGGATATGCAATTTAGACTCTGTACACCCGTTTTGCACATCTCACTGTAAAGAAGGGAATTTTTGTATATTCTGGATTAAATCGGGTTCAACATACATAGTTATCACAGAATTGAATCCTAAATTGGGCGTAAATTTAGTGAACAGATGAAAATACCCTTCTTATGACCAAATATGGATGAGGACTACATTAGGTCAAGGTACCAGAGTCAATAATAAAATCGAGTCCAAAAAAAAGGTGAGGGAAAAATTGAGTAATAGTGCATAGTCAAGTGTCTAAACAAGGTATAAACTCTATGGAAAATCAAACTCTTCAATGTGTTTACCTCGTGTTGTATGTTGGAGTGTGGCACTTGCATGCGCCTCGCATTACCTATTCCTCCGTGAGGTATATCTCCATCCCCACCAATTTCGTTTGAAGTATCGACAATCATGACACGTTTCCCATAATCGTTCGCAAGCATCCTAGCTATATCCCTAAGGAAATATTGGTCCATAAAAGCATCATTGTCTATGCCCTACCCCCACCAAAATCACCTAGGCTTCTGAAGGCCAAATAGTTTTTATCCTGAATTCACACCGTCTCATCCTACCCATACTCCACCTAAAGCTGCTCAGGTGCTAGGAGGCTAATGAAATGACTAATAAATGCCCACCTAATGCCGGATAAGATGGAATGTACTAATAAAATGACTTCTTCACTTTCCTTATTTGTTATTGTTCAGAAGGCTTAATATTTAATACAGATTTTGGCTCGCATTCAACAAGGTTCCTAGATCCGCACATCTCACTGTTGAGATTGTTATTATTATTAAGGAATATAATAAACAGTGAACTGACCTGATAATTGTAGTTTTACCTACTCCGGGAGGTCCAATCAGCAACAAAGAATCCCCAACTTTAACTAAATCTTGTAATGAATTGGCATTTCCTGATAAAGCTCTACCAACACGGCAGGTCAAGCCAATAATCTTATTTTTTCTATTTCTAATTGCACTAATGCGGTGCAAGGTTCTGCTAATGCCTGCTCTGTTATCAACGGAAAAATCACCAACCTAGAAAAGTAGAACAGTAAAAGTACAACTCACCATTAACAATTGTCTTTTAAAAAATGACACTTTTGTTAAGTTTTACTGTTTCCCGGCATGGATTCCAAAACCTATGAAAATATCTCACATGCCCAAGGTACGGTCCTTGAGAGCTTCAATTGATATTCAAGAATAAAAGAGCTGTTCCAATTCATAATCACCTTAGAAGTAGCATGTTCAAGATCCTGTGTAGTAATCGGATGATCCGACAAAAAGAAGTCACCAGAGGGGAACCGGGCGAGGGGCTTACGTCCCAAATCCATTACGATCTCGATCAAGTGGCGAAGCTCCGGGTGCTCCCCAACTCTCTGGCGCATCCCTTCCGGAAATAGCGCCAGTAAGCGCCCAAGCTCGACTTCAAAATCATCCCCTGGCAGGAAAGCGGGAGAAGACAAAGAAAGAGTTGATTTCGAGAACACGTTCTTGGGAAATCCGAAGCGGGGTGAGGAGTTGGGGGACTGAAATTGAAACCCATGGCCGCGAGGATTAGGAACGGCCTTGTTCTGCTGGGGTCGATGGAGAATCAGGAAATATGAAGAGGAAAGCAAAGTAGAAGAATACATCGCTCAAAGTACTTACTCCGTATAATAATAGAGATTCTTAATTTCTTATGAGTTGTGAGCATATCCTTATAATAACATTGGTATAAATTTAAAGTTTTGGTATATGTACACATTTTGTATACATGTCTATTTTTCATAAAAAAAAAAGTTATCTGTCACATACAACTCAAAAATAGTTCCTCTGTGATAGACAAATTTTTTGCGAACGACAGATATATGTACATAAAAATGTGTACACCAAGCATTTTTCATAAATTTAATATTTACTACTCCATACTCCATAGCTTGAAAAAAGAATTTCTCAGCTTTTGGCTTAAAAAACACTTATTTATCCAACACTACCAATTTTTTCTTTTTCTCGGCTTGCGTGTGAAAAGTGTTTTTCTCTTTTCTATTACACAAAAAACACTTATTTTACCAAACACTACCAACTTTTACTTTTCAAAATCGCTTTTTTCTCAAACACTATCAACTTTTATTACTTATCACTTTTTCCCAATCACTTCAAAAGTGTTTTGTTAAGCAGAAGCAGTTGCAAATACTTCCTAAATTTATAACTTTTGTACTCCCTCCGTGTTGCTACACTTTTCTTTTTGAGATGTATTTAAAAGTTTGCTACATTTCCATTTTTGATAAGTTTTCCCTTTATAAATACTCAACTACCCTTACTTTTTCTACTTTTTATGTTCTCTTTCATACTTTTACACACTTTCTCCTACTTTTTCTACATTATTCACTACTCCTACTGTTTTATTTCTTAAATAATGTACCAAACCAAATGTAGTGAATATTAAAATACGGAGGGAGTGTAAATTTATACGGAGTAATTTTTAATAGAAGAATTCAATTAATATTAGTCTTTAAAATGCAGTGGGAAAATGTTATTTAGTGACTATTAATAACTATGATGTAAACTTGAATACAATCATAGTCACCAACAATTATTAAGTACTTCATATTTTTATTCATACCTTTTTACTAGTAATATTTAAGAAACATTCATTTTTAATATAAACATTACTAATAAAATACGTAGTAACTATTATTATCATCATATAGTAAAAATTACTGCAACCATAATCACTGATAAGTAAAATAATTACATTATTTGTGTGTAATAAAAATTATCATCATTAATAATGAATATACAATTATTATGAATAATAATTTTAAATAATTATAATTGTAATTATATTTTTTAATTATAATTATAATTATATTTTAATTATAAATATATTTATAATTAAAATTACTAGTATATAATTATAATTATAATTCCAATTATAATTATAGATATAATTATAATTAAAAATATAATTACATTTATAATTATAGCTATAATTATAATTATTTTATTATGTATAATTTTAATAATTATAATAATAGTAATGATGATGGTGATGACGACGACGGCGGCGACGATGATGATAATATTATTATTATTATTATTATTATTAATAATAATAATAATAATAATAATAATAATAATAATAATAATAATAATAATAATAATAATAATAATAATAATAATAATAATAATAATAATAATAATAATAATAATAATAATAATAATAATAATAATAATAATAATAATAATAATAATAATAATAATAATAATAATAATAATAATAATAATAATAATAATAATAATAATAATAATAATAATAATAATAATAATAATAATAATAATAATAATAATAATAATAATAATAATAATAATAATAATAATAATAATAATAATAATAATAATAATAATAATAATAATAATAATAATAATAATAATAATAATAATAATAATAATGACAAGTCATGTTTGAACTTTTTTTATCTGGCCTGATCTAATGGTTTACGATCAGGTCTAATCTGAGTGTTTCTGATCTGAATAAAATAAGCAATAAGTGATAAGAATAAGACGAACATAACAGTTTCTTAGTCTATTTTTGAAGAAAACTTTGAAATTTGAAAAAGTGATAATATTTTCACTTTTAGTCTTATTTGAGAAATTCGGAATAATAAAACTGGTCGGTCAGTCCGGATTAGGGGTATAAATGAGTCAAGTTGCTCGTGGATCGCTCGGGAAAAGCTCAACTCGAGTTCTCGACTCGAGTTCAGCTCGACTTGAATAGTCAACAAACTCAATCAAAGCCTACTTATTTTAGGCTCCTGGCTCGCGAGCCTTTGTGTCATATTTTATATATAATAAATAGAAAAACGTACGGAAAAGGTACCTGTGGTTGGGCCGTTTTTAGATAGGGTCATGTGTTTCATTCTTTATTAAAGTGGTTCATGTGTTTGAATTCCGTTATCACAAGAGAATCACACCGTTAAAAACATATGAAAAAGACCATTAAAATAACTTCAATTTTCAAAAGTGCTCGAAAATTTAAAAGAAAAATACTGGAAGGTGCGCCTCAATAAGACAACTGCTAGGCCATCTTTTTTTTTCAACAACCCTTGACACTGGAAAGTCCATCAGAAAAGTGATATTAGCGAAATCATTTTTAAAAAATAATCAAACAGATCTGAAAATCCAAAGGCGAAGGTGGTTTGTAAGACATCTTGACGAGGCGCACCTTTCGGTATTTTTCTTTTAATTTTTCGGGCACTTTTGAAAATTGAAGTTTCTTTCAACAGTCTTTTTCAGACGTTTTTAACGACGTGTCTCTCTTGTGATAATGGAACTCAAACACATGAACCACTTTGATAAAGAATGAAACACATGACTCTATCTGAACCAGACTCAACCACAAGTATTTCTTTCGTACTTTTCCCTAATAAATATATGTAATAATTAGGGGAAAATAAATAATATACCCCGAACTTTGCCTTAGTGTAAACTCCCCACCCCGAACTTGTCCTAGTTTAAAAAATACCCCCAACTTTATTTATTTAATTTTTTGTACCATATTTTAATTAACAAAAAAATATGGTACATAAAAAGATTTAGTTGGCAAAAAAAGATTAATTAACATATTTTTTGTACTTAAATTAGAGATTTTGAAATTATTTAATCAATTCGAAAAGCACACATTAATTTGGGAATCAAACATCGTTTTTTGCCAACTAAATCTAATAAAAATATTACAATTTGAGAAATGTTATTTGTTTATTAAAATATCGTACAAAAATATTAAATAAATAAAGTTGAGGGTATTTTTTAAACTATGACAAGTTCGGGGTGGGGAGCTCACACCAAGGCAAAGTTCGAGGTATATTATTTATTTTCCCCTAATAATTATTATATATATATATAGGGAGCGGTTCCGGTAAGAACATATCTTAGGAGAAAAATGAGAACGAATCTAGACTTTTGGATTGTATTATGTGCAACTAAATTGTGCATTTGGTGAAACTGAAATATGCATTAAATGATATTGAAATGTGCAAAATAAAAATTAAACTCAAGTGTGCATTAGATGAAATTGATATGTGCGAAAAAAAGTACAAAAATAACACCGCATCGTACTTTTTATTCTGCACATTTCAGCTTCACCTAGTGCACATTTCAATTTCACGTAATGCACAACTCAACTGCACATAATGCCACTCTATCGTACCCTTTGTGATGCACATTTCAATTTCACCTAATGCACATTACAGTTTCATCTAATGCACACTGAATTTCACTTAAAGCAAATCTAATGGTCCAGATTCGTTCTCATTTCTCTCATAAGATCGTGTTCTTATTTGAAATATATATATATATATATATATATATATATATATATATATATATATATATATATTTGAAATATGTATTCTAATTTAGGACTAATCCATTTTCAATACTTATCACAAAGTGAATTATAATAATAATAATTATAAAAATAATATCATGTGTAGTATTATTTTTATAACCATAATCTGTAATAATTATAATATGTACTCTTAATATTTAGGGAAAATGGAAACTAATAATCCAACCTTTTAGCGGTCTTCTTACAATAATCCAACCTTTTGGTTATTCATGAATAATCCAACCTTTGCACCTCATCTTCATTCACTGGTCCCTGACCGGTTGATGACCTGCTATTCCAAGCTATTTTCTTATCTTTGCAAATCATTATACCATAAATCTCATCTTTCACAAAGATAATATTTTTGCAAAGATAAGAAAATAACTTGGAATAGTAGGTCATTAGCCGACCAGGGACCAATGAATGAAGATGTGGTGCAAAGGTTGGATTATTCATGAATAATCAAAAGGTGGGATTATATTGAAAGAAGACCGCTAAAAGGTTGGATTATTAGTTTCCATTTTCCCTAATATTTATTGACAGTAAAATAAAGAATAAAAATGTTAGTAAATGAGAGATAAACTAAAAATGAGAATGAATAAGTACACATAAATTTTTTAGCTCGAGTTCGAGCATCTTATTCGAGTTCAAACCTATAAATATTAATTAGCGAAACTTGACCCGAGCTTGAACCAAGCTCGAAATCGAGCTCGTGAATTCTTATCAAGCTCAAGCTCAAACATACTCATGTTCGGGCTCGGCTCGTTTGCACACCTAGTCCGGATCCATAATTACCCCCAACTAAATGACTAATGAGCCAAAATAAGAGGAGGAATGACTTGAGTAACTTTACAGCTATATATTTAAGGTGCAATTTGAGCCTTTTTGTCTAGCTTTTCTCATCGAAGTTCTTCGTTTTGCTCATAAACATCCATAAAGAAAAACCAAAATAAGTCATGTGGACCTGGGGAGGGATGTAGGATGAAGAGCCAACGTATGAAAATGGAACAATAAAACCGAGATGACTGATGCATAAATGTCCTCAGTGGGTAAAAAGAAACTTGCAACAACGTTAGCCAATAATCACCTATGGAACACAATTCAAACTTCAAAGCAAGCAATATGTTAATAAGAGGACGTGTGCTCATAGACGAACACTATCTATGAAACCACACGGAGCTGTGGACAAGAAGACTATCTATGACCAACCAAATACATAATCTAGCACATACACCAACGCGATGGATAAAGGGTACAGAGAAAATGCTATGAAGGAAGTCCAGAGCGGGAATGTTGAACGAGTACTCCCGAAAATACCCATCACAATGCACACTATAAGAATTACCAGAACTTCGGATGAGAAGTCCCATGTTAATCCTCTGGCATAAACAAGAGCCAGGAATACTGAAAGGCAAAGGACGTTGTTCATAGTCGCTGCTCCATATAACTGCAAAAAAAAGAAGAAACAAAAACTCATAAACTTTCTTTAGAGGAATAGGATTCATTGCGATGAAAATGTATTCCTGGAAAATAAGTCGTTTTTCTAATAGAATAGTTATACACAAAACTATTTCACGAAAATAAATTCCCATTTTCAATGTATTATGTATAATATTTTCTGGTCCCGAGCGACGAAAATTACTCAAATGTGCCTAAAGTTCCCCAAAAACTTAGGATAAAACATTAGAAATTGTTTCCCCAAAAACAATGGAGCCTTAAGGTTGGTTGTGTTAAGGGGGGATAGTAAAGAAGAATCTAGTTTCATTAATGCAAATTAAGACTACAATAGAAACATATAAATCAAACTACTTCCCCTCTACTCTATTTTCTTTGTTACTTTCTTTCCCTGGCCTTTTTCTGAGTTCCAAACAGACCCTAACAAGACCTACAGAGGAAAGACACAGACCTCAGAAAACGTTAAAGAAGCAGATTTAAGCTTTTTCCTGCTGGCGAAGATGATGGCAGAGACAGCCTCGCTTGAGTTAGTTGCCAACGGTAAGGCAATGAAGGAGATGAAGAAAGTCGGGATATTTGTGGCACCAGAGAAATTATCAACTGCATCTACCAGAGGATCAGCAAAAGCAGCAGCAATGGCTGTCCCGAGCAACAAGAACAATACAGCCTTAATTGAGGTCCATTTCGGATTATCAATTACCTCATCTCCTTCATCACTTTGGTTCCCCCCAGTGCCTAGTAGATAGTGCTCCCTTCTAGTTTGCTGCAAAACAATCCATATTCATATGAGGCTTAAATCTGTTCTTGGTCGCTGCTCATATGCTGTTATTTCAGTTTAGGTTCCTGTATTATTATTATTTTTTGTAATTCAACCCGCGAATTACACTGTTTTAGTTCAACTCTGACAACCTCCACTAAAAACAAAAAAAAAAAACAAAATTGCTAGGCAAAGAAAATAGAGGAAAATTTATCCCAAATTTGGAAGAAAAGAAAGAAAATGAGGAGGAAAGAAGCAGTTCAAAGTCAATAATTATATTTAGCTGTGTGTTCAAACACCCTTTATAAATATATTAAAGCTTTTAAAACGTTTTATCCAAAGTCAATTTCCTGTCAAGTTTTTTAAGGTAAAACCAATCATTGAGGGTATGCTTGGAACTCTGGTTTCCTAAAATCACTAGGTAAAGGGGGAAATGATATTAAAAAAGAATTTTGAGTTTTGTTTTACCTCGGGAAATGGAAAGAATAAGGGATTGTGAGTAATGTTTTAGAAAACTCGCTCATATGGGTTAGATTTCTCCTATTTATAAGAGGAAAATAAATACATAAAATGAGTTTGAATAAAGATAAAATTATTTTGAGTGAGTTGGAACCACCACCGCCCCCAAACATTCCCTTTATTTCAAAATTTCCCCTATTTTTACCTTCCTAATTTCTTTACCTAGTTTTTTCAGAGTTCTGAATGGGCTATTACAAAAACTATTTCCCTTAGCATTTTGTCTGATTCTCTTCTATTTTCATGCGTTCTAAAAAGGCGAAATTTGACTTTGCACCATGTTTTAAAAAATTAATGTGCACCTCATATGCTCAAATATGTGTTGAAGAATTCGATGCAAAAATGATTTTTTAAACAAATCTGGTGCACACATTACTTTTTCGGAAAATGGAGTGCAAAGCCCAATTCCGCACAATAAGAATTAAGCATAAAGTCCAATTCCACCTTCCAAAAATAACCTTGGTGTGTTGGTAGGAATTGTTATACAAATGATTGTTACAACTTACAAGAAACTATCAAGTAAAAGTGTACAGAGCAAAACAAACCTCATGGTAATCCTCAAGATACTTGAATGTTCCTGGTGCAGCTCTGGAAGCTTGAACCTCATCTAGCCATTTATCAACTCCAGAAACAAACTCTTCAAAATCAACTTCATTGTTATTTGAGGAGTCAAAATCCTTCATAAGATTCGCTACAACATCATTTTCGTCTAGGTTAATCTCTTCAAGACGGATTCCCACAAGCAAGGCTCGCAATTCAGAATGTGAGAGTTTGTCATCCCCGTTAGAATCTATAGTATTAAAGAGCCTGGCATCATGAAGTCCATAGCATCAAGTAAGAATTCTAGAGTTATTTCATTATGTTCTTCTTGCCTTTCTTTTCTTTTGTTTTAAATGGTATTAGGATTGGGATTTCATAGATAACCTTACTTTCTCAAAACTACACGATCGGGTACTCCATTTTCTGTGTAAAGCCTCCCTAATGCATGCCTTTTCAAATGTTTCAGAACTCCAGATATGACATGTTTTTGCTTTAAATACGCAAGTCGCCTTTCTTGTATCCATGGCTGAAAGATCTGCACATGCAAATTAAAAGAGAATCTCAGAGGAATAGTTTTGTGGAAAAGATTATGAAAACTCAATAAAGATTATAGCATGAAAAAAACAACACAAATCCACTAACTAACAAACCATGTTGAAAGGAAGAAGGCTTGAGACGCATTGAAAGTAATCCCCCGCCTTTGTAATTACATCCTCATAATTGAGCTTAATCTAAATAATACTACTATTAAGTGTGAAATACAAAAAATCGTTCAAATATATACTCCGTACATTATAAACGGGTCATTTTTTACATAAATATGTGCCCACAAAAGAGAGTGTGCGTTTGGTTAGTATTTTTTGTCAGCAAGATGGTGTTCTCAACTACACATTGTGGTATAGATTAGTACTCCCTCCGTCCCCTTAAGTTTGTCCCGTTTTACCTTTTTGGTCCGTCCCACTAAGTTTGTCTCATACCATATTTGGTAACATTTGAGTGGTTAGAATTCATTCTTACTTTATTTACACTTTATCAATTCAATACCAACCACACAATTCCACTTTTTCTTAAAAACCACACCACACCCCTCCGTCTCAAACTTAGGGGGACGGAGGGAGTATTTAGTAGTACACTATGTATTTTGAGATATACATTCATTTTCATCATTTTCATTTACCCCAGTGCCGCAAAGGCTCCCAGTTACGGTGGGGTAAGGGGGGTCAGATGTACGCAGTCTTACCCCTGTACTAAAGCACAGAGAGACTGTTTCCGGATGACCCATAGTGAAAATCGCGTCCAAAATTGTATGGACTGACTGTTGCTTCATAACAAAGAAGCGCAGACAGGTTAGTGAGCCATTTTGCTTTATTCCATCATATTCTCAAGCCAAAAAATAATGAATCTTTGGCTCCATTGCAAATGATGGAAATATTTTGAGATATACATATGTAAGGAAAATAAAATGACTAGTTTGTGCTCACAGACCTATAAATAAATGAAAAGTCAAAACCATTACGAGCTCAACAACTTGAATCGCAGACAGGGCACCTATTACCAATGTGATAGAGAAAACTTAGCCAACAGTTCATGACTACATATCAAGCTACCTGATATACGCAATAGGTGACAAAAAGTGAAACCGACAGTATGAGACCAATTAAAACAGCTAAGTGCCTTCCTGAGGAAGAACGGAGCATCTGCGGAAGTTGCACAATCACAAATGGCATCACGGAGACTGCCATGATAATTGCAGCATAGCTAGTCCACAAATCGGTGGTAACCCCAGAATCTACAAAAAATGAGCCCACTTTAAATAGAGTGATCTTACATGTTATACAGATATATTCAAATAAGTGGCCGTTTGAAGGACATATGTTTTGCAAAACAATAATTGAATTTACTGTGTGCATTGAATTGGGAAATAATTCAATGACTGAAAAAGTAGTAGGCATTTAGGGAAAGTTTTGCTGAAGTTACCCAAAGATGACCAATTTAAACTGTTTTATACTCCCTCCGTCCCATAATTATCTTCATTCTTTCCTTTTTGGTCCGTCCCAAATTTATCTCCTCTTTCCCTTTTTAGCAAAGGATTTGTGGTTCACAACCATTCTTACACATTTCTCTCTCCTCTGCACAACTCTCCACCACACATTTCCCACTTTCTTAATCTCCGTGCCCAGTCAAAACCGAAGTTAATTCTGGGACGGAGGGAGTACCACATTTGTCCCGCTGCACATAGTTAGTTACCGTTTAAAATGTCTGACAAAGTTTATTCATCCTTGACAATATCTAAATTTCTTCAGTGTTGAAAACTTAGCTATTTCTAAACTACACTACAAGCTCTCTTGAATCGCAAAAACAAAATAAGAAGCCGTTTGGCAACACTGTTTTTGGGCTTATTAGGCTTATCAACCAACTTTTTCACCAAACACGTAACTTTTGCTTTCGCGCGTTGAATTGTGTAAATGTGTAATAAGAGAAAAAGTAAAAGGTTGGAGTTACTTTTCTGGCTGTATTGGCTGAAGTTACCGTAGATGACCATTTTAGCTATTTTTACATATAATTTTTTCTTTATTTTATTAATAAAATATATTTTAAAAATAATTTTTTCTTAAAGCAGCAGAATCAGCCAATGTAGCCACTTCAGCCAGAACTTCATAAATTTGAGCAGAATCAGCCAAATAAGTCAGTTTTGGTGCTACCAAACGGGCTTTAAATTTTAAAAAATTGATACCCAAAATATTAACAAAAAGAATTTTGTTGGCCACATGAATAGTAAACTGGCAAAATCCAGCAACACCAACACCAATACTGGTCAAGGATTGGAAATTTTAACTTCAAACATTTCAACAAAATTCACCCATGTTAAACGGGCCCTATCACCCTAAGGAGCAATTCCAAACATCTTAATTGTATTGCTTTATTCTAATTTTATTCAGATCAGATCACATTAGAAAAAATTACAAACCAGATAAAAATTCAAATTTGAGATCAAATCACAATGATTCAGATCATTTTTTTTTTCAAAAACTGCCATCAATATGGCATTTTTTCCATGTAATCGGAGCTGGTGGTGCTGCATATATTTTTTTTTACTTTTTTATTTATTTAATTTAATTTTTTAAGTTTTTTATTTTGTAATTTTTATTTTTCGAATATTTTTATTGTTATTAAGTTTATTTAATATTTTTTGTTACTTTTACATTTTAATTATAAATAAAATTATGTTATTACTTTTGTGTTATACTACCTCTGTCCCTGAAACAACTTCCCGTTTGGCTTATTATTACACGTAACTTTTGTTTTAGTTACTTTTCTGACTGTATTACGCGTTCAATTGTGTAATAATAAGAAAAAGTAAGGTTGAAGTTACTTTTCAGACTGTATTATGACCATTTTAGCTATTTTTACATATAATTTTTTCTTTATTTTATTAATAAAAACATATTTTTAATTTCTTTTCCTTAACTCAGCAGACTCAGCAATGCAGCCAGAATTTCATAAATTTCAACAGAATAAGGCGCATCAACGGATTTTCTGGTAAGCAAATGGGCACTTAATCGGATCAGATCAAAACTAAAAAATTCAGACTATGGGAACAAGGTGCTTTTGCGTGCCAATTTATGTAAGGTAGAAACTAAGAAACGAAAAGAAGGACGAGGAAACAAGCAAATGCATAAGCATGTGGTACATATGGGTCCACCCACGTTAAGAAAGTAGAAAATTAAGATGGAGAGGCAGACCTGTGAGGCTGAACCCTTTAGTGTCTTTAGAGTCGACGGCAACAGAGTTTTGAATGTCACACTTCCCTACCAAAATACAGGTTCCCCATATCACTGTGAGAAGCATCACAGTCGACCCTGCTAGCAAGCCCATTCCAACAGAAACCTGACTTTGAGCTTCTGAAACACTTCCCGATAATCCAGACACTGACATAATTAATTACACAGCAAACGTCAGAGTAGTTGACCGGATTTCAAAGACCTGAAGCTAATTCAGATAGACAATATATTTCGTTTGCTCAATGAAATGAAGATGGATGAGAATGATAAACCCTTCATGAAATGGATAACTTAATTACTCATGACAAGCATAGCGGGGGGGGGGGGGGGGGGCATATGGAGTATATATATGTACCTACCTAAGATGAGCATAGCATCCGGAAGAGCACCGAGCATAGGGAGGAAGAGACCGCCAATAAGACCGGGACCGAGAATCTCAAGCAGCAGCTCACTGCCGGAAGAGAGGTAGGTGGCGGCAAGGAACATGAGGTATCCATAGATTAGAATCAGGAAAAGGTTTCCCAGAGCAGTGTTCGTACAAGGCAAAAAGCCGTAGGTCTGCTCACAAGTCTCCTCGAAAAGTGGGCGGATTATATCCGATCCGCGATCAGCGCCGTATAACCCGTCCGAGACGAGATCAGAAGAACGGCCGACAATGAAGCGAGCGTGAGCGGCAAAGGAGAGGGTGAGGAGGAGGAGGGCCGCGATCAGCAGCGATTTCGCAGCCATAATTTTGGGCAATTGATGGAAACGGGAAGGAGTAGTTATTCGGTGTCAGGAACGGGACGTTGCTAGCGCGTCCCCTGGGCTCCGCAATAAATTTGAAGTTTAATTCTAATTTTGTTACTTCAGAGCTATTTAAATTTAAAATAATAAATACTCCCTCCGTCCCTATTTATTTAGCCAATGTTGACTGGCACAAGGAATAAGGAGTGGAAATATATATAGTTGACTGGACAAATTTGTCCTTCAACTTAAATGACGGAAGGGAGAAACCCAAATAAAGTACTCTGTACAGCCCACCCACTTGCTCCTATTTGCAGCTGAATAATTGCTTTTCTTACACATGAAGTACACCTAGTTGAGAGAAAACACAAGGGGATGTCCAACAAAGAAAAATTAATTCACCAAGAAGCCTATAATTAAAATACGAACAAATTAATTTTAACGCTGGATCCAACTTGATTCCAACATACGAAGTACTGATTTTGCTTCGTTGATTCCAAAACCTCCGGGAGTCCTATTATTTCATCGCCGGTAAGTCGGTAACACATCTTTTCATCGCCTGCGATGCATCTGTCCACTTCTCCAACCATATCTGTGTGGATACCTTCGTCCTCAATAGCTCCTTGAAATATCTCTCGTCGTCTCCATCTCAGCTTACATAGGTGGAGTCTCAACTCTCAAGACAGAGGAGCATGTCCTCAAAATCCATGACAGTAGAGAGGAAAGAGATGATAGGAGAAAGGGAAGGGACAAGGAGTGGGTACGAATTGTTGAGAATGACCGAGAGTATTCAAGAAGGTTAGATGTGTCATTGTAACTTTATTAACTACCCAAAATGGAAAGTGGCTAAGTATTTTGGGACGGCCAAATAAGGAAAGATGGCTAAATAAATAGGGACGGAGGGAGTATTTGAAAGGTCATATGAAAGGTCATAAAAAGTTAAAGGTCTGTTTACTAACAGAAATATTCCCCATCAAGTCTAGTTTGTGCATACCAAATTTCAGCTCAAAATTCGATCGGGAAGGCATTCAAACTGCAGTCAACTTCAAAAAATGATTTGAATGCCTTCCCGATCGAATTTTGAGCTGAAATTTAGTATGGACAAACTAGACTTGATGAGGAACATGTTCAAAAAATTTCATCAAAATTCCACCGGGAAGGTGCCTAAACGGGCTCGGCCGGACGGAGCAGCCCGTCAGGCCGGCCTGACATGAACATTCCACTCTCTCTCTCTCTCTCTCTCTCTCTCTCTATATATATATATATATATATATATATATATATATATATATATATATGCACACACTTCCAATTCGAGCAAAACAGAGCTATTATGCTGATTTATTTGGATGGCCGCACTTTAGATTATAGTTGTAACTTTCTGGGTGTTTTGCCATCCAGGAATATTTTTTTTTTTTTTTTCCTCTCATTTGTACCTCATTATTTTAATTAATAAAATCTGGCAAATGTCCCCCGGCATTTGCCCCACTGATTTTGGTGGTTTGCCTTCCGGGGTAAAAAATATATATATATATATATGCACACACACACACACACATATATATAGAGTACTCTTCCGGTCAGGTATACCTGACCAGAGCCCCGTCCGGCCTCCTCCATTTGGGGGCCTTCCCGGTGGTATTTTTTGCTCAAGTTTTTTGTGTAGGTTCCTCATTAAGTCTAGTTCATCCATATCAAATTTCATCTAAAAATTCAATCGGGAAGGTCGTCAAATGATTTTTGCAAGTTAACTGGTCCGGAATATGTATTTTCCGGACCAGATAATTTGAAAAAATCATTTGACGACCTTCCCGATTGAATTTTTAGCTGAAATTTGGTATGGAGGAACTAGACTTGATGAGGAACCTACACAAAAAATATGAGCAAAAAATACCGCCGGGAAGGCCCCCAAATGGAGGAGGCCGGACGGGTGGAGTGGTCCGGCCTGGCCGGACCTGAATAGTTGTGTGTGTGTGTGTGTATATATACATACATACATACATACATACATACATACATACATACATACATACATACATACATACATGCATGCATGCATGCATGCATGTATGTATGTATGTATGTATATATTCTGAAAATCGTTCTTGGCGTCCGACTAGTCCCTGCCTAGGCGCTAGGCGGTGGCCGGGCGCCCCGATTTTCGTTTAGGCGCTCCGACTAATTGGTTTGTCATCTAGGTGAATTAGTATGTCGCCTATGGCGCCTAGTTGCCCACCTAGAGCGCCTAATTGGCCGCCTAGGCCGTCTAGATTCGTCAAACATTACTTTACTTTTAAATTTTAATTTTCTATTCGATTGTTGGGATATATTATCCCGGCCTATTACTGTTCAGGGGCCCAAGACTTACGTAGTACGGAGCCCAATCAGTGAGGCTCATTTTAGCCTATCAGGCCTGTTTCGTCCTTTGGGCCCATTCGGCCCGTTAGGGTGGAGAGCCCCCTTCCCCCTTTACATATAAATAGGAGGAGTTCCCTCCTTATCAAGGATCCCTTTCTTCTTCCTCTTTCTCTCTAGATTAGCTTTATCCTCCATTAATGGAGTTTCAACATTTGTACCTTGTAATGGTGAGGAGAGTCCTAATGAGAAAGAGAGGGCTTGGACATTAGCTTAAAAAGTCCCGTGGTTTTTTCCCTTTCGGGTTTCCACGTAAAAATAGTTTGTTCACACACATTTATACATATATTTACTATATCATGTTGGATTAAACTCAACATTGGCGCCCTCTGTGGGAATCAGTTCAAAAAGACTACATGTGTTCTCCATTTTTTCTGCAAGATGCATACGGATGAACTGTGTTGAGGTTTATTCCTTCAACCCCCGGGTTCAACACGTAAGCCCAAGAGTTTCGAGTGGAGTGTGTATGTGAATAAGCTAGCCCAATTAACAAGTAAGATGGATTAAGAAACAATGAGTAGCAAGTAAGAGATTAGGTATTATTAATCAGTTAATAACTCCCCAATACAATACTTTTGCCAAGGCTCATCGGCCGTTCGTCTTACAAGGCAGTAAAAGAGCTGCGAGTAAGAATGCTATAAGCTAGAGTGCTAAGAATAGTAAGTTGTCAACCCTTTTCAATGAAATAAATGTTGTTATTTATACTACCAATGGGTAGCTGGCTATGCTGACGTGGAGGCTTGTGTGTGGCTGATGTCCCAACCACCAAATCTCCAGCATTAAATGCGCTTCCCGCCAGAATCTGGGTTTCCCGCCTAGTCCTGGAGACGTTCGTCCAGTCCGGATAAGAGGGCCTGCTCCTGGTGATATTTGCAAAGGGTAATGGGTCGTTCGTATCCTGACCCTTCGACGATTTGTCACATGGGTTGGATTGGCTCTAAGTTACAGTGCCTTCCGGAGGCGACGTTCGTCGCCGTTGCGTTTGCCTGTGGATTTGATCCACTTGTCTTTGTACGGACGGACGTCCGAGTGGGCTGCCCCGCCAAGGAAGACGTTCGTCCGGTCGAGGTGAATGGGCCGGTCCATGTGCTGGGCCATTAACCCAACACAAGTCCCTCACTTCTGATGTCCTGAGTCGTGCGAAGGACATAAGGAAGTATATAGTCCCCAAAAGGTGGAAGCTCGCGGCATGGAACTTACGCTTGCCGCCCTCCCGGGAGTGGACGTTCCTCTCCATGGCATCTCTTGTTTGATGGCGGTTCAGGAATCGAGGTGACGGCTGCCGCAGAAACGGTACATTTCCCGAGGTAAGGCCATCATTACATTCCTCGTTCCACGCGCGGCGCGTGCTTCTGGGGTACGCTCCTCGCCACGTGTCACTTAGCCACTTGTTTTATGAGGCGGTGCTTCCCATATAAATACCAGGTTTCTCCATATGTTTAGGGTTTCTGATTCTCGCTTTCTCGCTCTTGGTTTTCCGCCGTTCTGCAATCTGCTCGCCTACAAGCTCTCCGGCTCAAGCTCGCTGCTCTAAGGTATTGTTTTCCCTTCTTCGTGACCCCTTTCTGATTCTTTCAATGACTTCCATGGAAATCTCATCGAGTTCTGGTTCGGGTTCCTCTTCCGGCTCTTCTTCTGGCTCTGAGTCCGGCTCCCGCTCTTCTGAGGGCGCCAGTATCTCTGGCCAGTCTGGTTCCCCGTCTGTTGCGGGGATGATTGTGCAAGATAACGCCCCGGACACTTCCGGTTCTGCGAGCACCTCCTCGTCTGCCGCAACCCATGCCGATGCGGCCCCCGAGGAACATGGGGCCGACTCCCCCCCCAAGAGAGTGCGGTCCAGATGATCGTAGAGGACGTGGCCGTCGTCAATGAGCGTCCCGCAGACTACGATTCGGGCAACGAGGCCGTTGATGGTTCGGACATAGAGGTATTTGATTTGGGCCTCTCAGTCGATGTGGAGCGTCATATTTGCCCCATAAAGAACGTGATTGGCCATGAGCAATCTTTCTCGGTCAAAGCCCTTAAGAAGCTCAAGGCATACCTCCCCCTCCGTTCGTCTACAGTCTCCGAGGCGCGTCTCATATGATGAGGAGACGTCCGGGGATGGTCATGGTGCATTTGGATTCCATTGAGGCCGGGCTGCGGTTCCCTCTTCATCCATTCTATGTGGAATTCTTCTGTTGCTTCCAAGTGGCCCCCGCACAATTCATGCCCAACTCCTACCGATTCATTTCCGCGTTCCTCGTTCGTTGCAAGGACAGGGGGGTTACCGCCACGCTAGATTTGTTCCATTACTTCTTTCGGCTCACCCCCCAAAACTCTGATGGGTTTCTGAGCATCGCCGCACGTTCCCAGCGGAAGCTCTTCAGTGGGGCACCGAGCTCAATCCATGATTGGAAGAATTGGTTCTTCTTCATGCGATACGAAGACGCTCGTTTGCCCATCCGTTGGAATGATTATCCGCCTAAGATAGGGCCGCCAGAGTTGACCGACGATCTGGAGGAGGAAGTAAAGAAGGTTTCGGCGAGCGGCATCCGATCCTTGGAAGGCTTCCTCACTTTCGCAGCGCTTGCCGCAGCAGGAATAGGTATTGCCCGTGTCTCTGGATCCTCAATCCCCCTACACTCGTCTCGGGGCATCGGGCGGTCCTGTCCTCTGAGGTGAGTGTTTTGGTCCCAAAATCCGTTCGGCT